TGGCCTTCTCATTGCTTCATAAACTTATTTTTTATATTAAGGTTTTCCAGCGTTATTCGTTAAATTTGTACATGCTTCAATTTTTTCACTACATTTTACAGTAATGTATTTGAGGTCAGGTTGAGAAAAATTAAACCATCAATTTTCTAGCAATTGATTTCCTTTTCAGTGTATTGGTCGGGGCGAATCGGGAAAAGATGGATAGAGACCACGTTAAGAAGATTGGCCATCGAGTGTATAAAAATGACACCCGAGAAATCTTTCAGACTGCACTCGAGCGAGAAAAACGGGACCAAAAATAACTTTGACAGATACTAAAGAAATTTATAAAGCTTTATATTGGCTGCTTATTTTTAAGGAAAATAAAAAGTATTTTAAGACATTCACAAAGACTAGCATTTATGTTTTCTTTCGTGAATTTCTAGATTTATGTTGTTTTACTTCTGCGCGGGAAAAAAAATGAGTAAATTTAACTCATTTTCTGAGTTAAATATGGCGATCTCAATAAGCGAGTTGGTTCAACATACATTTAGTGCAAAATCACATTTTGTAGTTGAATCAACTCCAAACTTGACTAAAACAGAATTGATAGCTCCAAATCTAAATTGAGTCAACTGGTTTATTGAGTTCGCCACATTTAACGCAGTAAATTAAATGAATTTACTCTCCTTTTTTATCAGCTTACTAAAAAATACGAGAAAACATATGTTTGATGAGGGTTGCACATGGTGTTCCTAATAGCAGATTGTATTTTCTGTTGGAAAAAAAAAACTTGTTTATTGAGTGTCGACCTAATATTTCTAATTTTTCGTATTTGTTGACCCCCAACTTGGAATCTATTGGGGCATCTACAGAAAAAATTATATCAAAACTATGGTTCACCCTATAAATTACTTCTTAATGGCATTCCAGAATATTTATCAGTTATCTAAAATTGAAATGAACTTGTTAAAAGAAATAAATAAATGTTACTAACATAACATAACATATCAAAATCATACTGATTGACTCCGTGTGACGGTATTGCAGTTGTTAATATTTATAAAATTTATTCCTTTTTGGCCGATCAGCTCTGTTCTCGCCGTGTTTATCGACAGGGTAAAGGTCCTACCGCCGCAAGGTAATAAAACGATTAAACCCCTTCCGGTGTTTTTACGTCTTCACCCGCTTTTGAATGGCGGATTACAATACAGGCCATTACCAACTGTGGGTAGAATAATAAACAAGTATATAAACAAGTTTTTTTTTTTTTTCAATAGAAAATACAATCTGCTATTAGGAACACTATGTGCAACCCTCATCAAACATATGTTTTCTCGTATTTTTTAATAAGCTGATAAAAAAGGAGAGTAAATTCATTTAATTTACTGCGTTAAATGTGGCAAACTCAATAAACCAGTTGACTCAATTTAGATTTGGAGCTATCAATTCTATTTCAGTCAAGTTTAGAGTTGATTCAACTACAAAATGTGATTTTGCACTAAATGTATGTTGAACCAATTCGCGTATTGAGATCGCCATATTTAACTCAGAAAATGAGTTAAATTTACTCATTTTTTTTTCCGCGCAGAAGTAAAACAATATAAATCTAGAATTTCATGAAAGAAAACATAAATGCTAGTCTTTGTGAATGTCTTAAAATACATTTTATTCTCCTTAAAAATAAGCAGCCAATATAAAGCTTTATAAATTTCTTTAGTATCTGTTGTTACGTAGGCATCTTCCGTACCTTAACGTAGGAAAACGCCCTATTTTCCAATCACCGGAGCTAGCCATAGAAATCCGAATACAGAAACGCGATTAGGAAACTCTTGCGAAAGGATCCAACGAGTTAAACGGCTCCAAAAGTCACCGACCGACCCAGCACGACTCAGAAACGCCACCCTCACCTGGGCCCTAGGAAACTCCCACCAATTGGAACATCCTGCTAATAAAACCAGCAGTCCGGTCAAGACGGGGAGTCTTTAGTCAATTTTTCATAAGTCAGTGTCAGTTCGTACGCTACACGTCAAGTATCATCGAAACTTCGAGTGGAGCTCCTGGCCCCCCCGTACTCCATTCTTAGCGAGTCAGAGACCGAGACCGCCGGACTCCCTGCCAAGGACCACTATCCTGCGAGCTGCAGTAGCGCCATCCAGTACTCCAGCGATCCAACGATCGAGTCAGGACCAGACGGCGGTACTGCGACTTCCGTTGAACGGGAGGCTTCTAGGAGACCTCCAACCCTAGGGCACGTCACGGGACGAAGGTGTTCACGTACAGTCATCCGACCGGGTCGATCAAAAGAGACTGTCACCGATTACGGCCGCTGAACAAGCCAGGTAGAGGATCCTTCGCAAGCTCGACTCATCCTAATTTTCATTCTAGTTTATTTATTAACCCTTCATCTCCGACCAAAATCGAATTCTAACCATTATCGCGATTTCCATGCCTTGCTCCGGTTAACCAGATAGATTAAGAATCCATCGACTTCCATTAAACAGCTGAGCTCGAATCTCAGCATCGCGAAATAGAATCACGCGCGGACCGCCTTAAAATAGTAAGAATTCCCGCGTCAGCACACCGGGGTCCAGTAACCCGCCGCCGCTAAAGCGCGCTATCGCGACACCCGACCCGCCGCGACGCGGAAGTATATTAATCTAGAGAAAATTAGGTCAAGGCACCTCGGGTGCCCTCCCAGCTGATTGTAGTTCAGACCTCACGGACGAATAAATGCAAACTATCTTAATACACTAGCCACATTGCTATTCGTTCGCACCCCTTTTTATTCCTCACTCCTCTAGATTCCACCAGAGGAATTTATGTAGCCGCTCGGATCAATCTCCTCACAAACTTAAAATAATCGTTACGCGCATGAGTTGGGTAATCTCAATCTGAATCACCCCAGCCTCGCATCCGCTTGGCGGTCCCGTAACAAAACTGGTGACAGCGGTGGGATCCTCTCCTTTCGGACTGGTGGGGCCCGTTGTAATTAGACACGGTACCTCCCACCATCCCTTTCGGAAAAACCTCAAAATAACTCCAATTATCACTGTTTCAAGTACTGTAGAATCTGCACCGTCTCTCTCGGAAAGCAAAAATAGAACTTAGGATCTCTGTCCTTCCCAAAACAACCCTTCGTCTAATGAGGAGTCGAACCGACCTTCCCGTGGTAACTTGTTTCCAGTCAGACCTAAACGGAACGATAAAGTGTAGTGGCTGAACGACTCCGGAAAAGGCTCAGGTTGCTTCAGTCGAACCGACCTCCCGGTAACTACGTTACCGACCGAATTAAGGTTGAACGACTCACGTACCTTATCTCTCTGGTGGAATGATAACCACTAAGCTAAGGAAAGATTGCGGCTTGTGTGGAATCCTTATCACCTTATAAACCAGGTGAGCACAAGGAAATCTACCGCCAAAAATCTTCGTTCCCATCCCTCTTTTTTTTTTTTCAACAAATAAATGCCTAAACGAGCAGGAAGGAAGCAACGTGAATACCAAATTAATATGAAACAAAAAATCGAAACCGTATTAGATATCCCTTCTGAATCCCGCAAAACCCTTAATAAAGCAATTGTCCTCCATTGTCTTAACCAGCTATCTATTCATACAGAAATCCTGGTAGACATTCCCCCGACTATATAAACAAATATCCCTTCCATCCACTTCCATAGAATCTTCAATCGAAATTCCCCTATTAGAAGTCCAGCCGTTAACAGCTGGACTTGACTCAGCTGAGACGATCCGAGAAATCGACGCGTTAGTGGAATCCGTCGCAGCGCGAATTCTCCCGAATCATTCCTATCTTGATATCGAGACCATAGACATTTCGGACTAAATTCAAATTCCCGCAACGTCCCACCTCTTTACGAACAGGTCTACGTCAAAAGGGAAAACTCTATCTTAGAAACCTAAGTCTCATATTTCGGCACGATGACTACCGACCGAAACATCGCCGACTTGCTTAACCTGACTCAGCACCACATGCAAATGACGGAGAAATGCTCACGTATACGCTGCATACAAGGAGCATTTCACGACGTCCCGGAATTCAACGGCGAAGACCCCCCACTTTCCACCTTCGCACAACGCGTAGAAAACAGGTGAACATTAATCAACCCGGAAGATGATAATTTATATCTAACGGCCGTTTTGACGCGTATGACAGACCCCGCGCGTACTAGCATCGAGGATAAAGCCTTCAGGGACGTCAAGGAATTGATTAAACATCTGAAAAAGAGGTTCGCTCCTAGTAAAGATCTCATTTTGCTAATGGGAGAGGCCAAACAGTTAAGCATTTTCCCAGGTGAAACCGCACGCTAGTACATAGATACAGTTAGCCAATTAGCCAGGGGAATAAAATCCGCCATCGGAGATAGCCCACAGGGTCAACCCATGAGCGAAGGGATCAATCAAACCCTTCTCGATAATTTCATCTTAGGTTTGCCTGGTGAAATGGACACCTATGTCTACTCCAAAAATCCTAAAACGCTCGACGATGCATTTAATCAGGTTTTACAATCCGAAAAAATCCGAGGTGGCAGACCGATCATATGGGAACCCAGGGAAAGGTATAATTCTCCCGGTTACCATCGTCATAGGAGTCCCCATACGATCTATCATTACGACCATTACCAATACGACAGACCCCCCCTCCCCCATCACGTGACATATCCTCAACAAACTAGACAATACGATAGATATCCGGAAAGACGCTATGAAAGGCCTAGTAGAAGCATCAGCCCACGGCCCGAGGCAATGCACTCCTTAGTCAGCACTTCCGAGCAAAGGCCTTGCATTCCGACACCTCCACCTTGCTTCACCTTGCTTCTCACTTGCGGTGACATCTCTCCTACGTCCTGCCGGTTGCGATGAACTGCACGTGAACGCCTTCAAACCGGGGCGTGCCCTAGGGTTGGAGCTTCCTAAGATTCTCCCACTGGTCCGGAATTCGAAGCGCCGTCGTTCTTCTTACTCTTGGCTCGTGGATGTCGGAGTACCGAAACGCAGAACTGTTACTACCGTACGGTCAGCTCTTCAGAGAGCTCCAGCCTCTCTCCTGAGACTGCTCTGTACGCTGTCTTGAACTCTTCTATACTGCTGGCGGCTGCTTTTCGGTACTGTTTTCATACGAAATCTTATCCTTGAAATGCCCGTGAGGACAGGGTCCGATTTCTTTGTTTCTGGATTTTGTTGTTAGAAGTTTGATCAGAAGTGCTGAGGTAGTCATTATGTTGACGGAAGAGTAGGTCCGTGTTTTGGTCCAGAGTGCAGTTCGATGCGAAATACGTGCGAATAAACCAAAACATTCCTCGATGATTGTTCCAGTCGTTGTTATTTTTTCGGTTTAATCGGACGATACTGTCGTTGCTTTGGATTCGATATTTATCTTCCGGTAACTGACTCATACTTAATAGAATGCGCGCCTCTCTATTTTGAGGAAAATCGGGTAGCCTCGTAACAACGTGCTTGCAACGCGCGCGTTAATTTTCCGAAATTATGTCGGGTTTATGCCTTTTGGTGATTTGTTAAATTTCTCTTCCAGAAAACTCATTTTCAAAAAGCCTTTTTTGGATTCCCTTTCTCGCCGAACAATTGTCGGGTTTTAGCCGTTCGGCTTACTGTTAAAATCGATTCTGTCTATCTTCTTTTACAAACGAAATCTCTCGCGGGTGAATAAATCGAATTGTGATTTACCCTTTAACGTTGCAGTTTACTTTATTTTATTTACCAAGACAAATCTTCCCTCTAATTTATCGGAAGGAAATCGGGTCCCTTCCGGACCAATTAAAAATCACGGGAGTTAAGTGCCCTAACCTCGCCCCTCTCTGCGGTCATTTCGGTGGCCAACCAAGTTGAGCTAGCTGTCCCTTCGCCTTGGCCGCGAAGCCCTTAGGAGTAGCGACACCTTTTGGGAAAGTCTTCTCCGAGGGCGTGCCTCGGAGAAGCCAGGAATAAACCCTTCGCCCTCTCCTTCCGGTTCCGCTCTCGCGGGGAGAGCCCGAGCCCTTAGAGAGGGGCAGCCGACGGTCCCCTGAAATTCGGCGTCTTAAGACGCCTGGCGCCCTACGGGTCAAGGATTCGAGTGTGTGTGCGAGTCAGGGCGGAGGATAAGGACATTGGGACGCAGGGTCCTTTTGTGAACGAGAGGTATCCCTCGGGTGGGAACAAAAGGAAATCCCGTCAGAATGTGCGCGCGCGCGCGCGCGTGTGTGTGTGTGTGTGTATTCGAAGGTTTCAAAGTCTTCTAGGAATTAAACGATAAGACCATACCACTTGGATGATGACACCCTTCGCGCGTTTCCAGACTATTCTATTAGCAATAAATGACGGTTCAACGATACCATAGACTTAGTATGCGAACGGTGAACGTTGAGGTGACGTTTGGAAACCTAAAAATGGGACATTCGCACGGAAGAGAACGAGATACGAGGAAGAGAGCAAGTTCAACGAGACATGAGGGAAAGAGAGCAATTTCGATGAGATCGGTACTAATTGTGGATACGGCGCTCGGATGTACCTGAAAGTTGTATCATTTTCGACAACAATAATTCACATACAATGTTGAATCAAAATCCACTGGATCCTGCCAACGGTTCTAGAGATTTTGCTGGCAATGTAACCCCAAATCAAGGTTCCCGAAGAGGCGTCGAATAAAAATTCGATTCGTTCCAGTATATATTGGTTTAAAGAATAACATTTGATGTTTCTGTATTTTATATCTGGTTGGAGAATTATTCCACCCGACCCTTCACATTAGATAGTCATGGACCTTCGCGCGTCGCAAAACTTTGATCTCCTTAACAACCGATACCTTTTTTTTTTTTTTTACGAGGAGACAATCTGACGGACACCCCCGCCCCCGAGGGAGAGGCGGGGGTCGTGTGGGGCTTGCACCCACTAAAAACTCCTCGGTGGCTACCTTCGGCGCATTAGGGGGGGCCACGGGATCGGTTGCGCAACCGCGGCCCCCCCGCGCCCCGCCCAGAATCTGGGCTCGTTTGGGGGGGGACAAAGCGTCCCCCCGGCATTCGATATTCTTCACCGGCGGGGCGGGGCCACACCGCCCCGCCGGCACCTCTCGGGATCGCGTGCAGTGGGGACTCTCGTCCCCTGCCGACCCAGGCGGCGAGGGCTGCAAGCGGGGCCAGGTACTCAATCCCCCGGCTCCTCACCACCGATGCCTCGAGAGCTCACCCCAAAAATGCGCGAGCGGGGGCGGGACGCTTATCCAAAAGGTGGCGGAGGACCCGCCACCCCCGGACGACGCCGCCGCCCCGTCCTCCCCTGGTGGGCGGGATCGGCCATCTCCCGATCCCGCTCCGCGGCCTCCTTCTGCAGCATCACTTGTTCGCAGAAGGAGGCCACCGCCTCCCACGACCTCTCGTCGCGGGCCATCGCGCCGACGACAGCCGGCAACGAGAGGTCCCCACCAATTTCTTGGAGCAGGACACGGCGCTCCGCCTCACAGGCGGGACACACCTCGAGGGTGTGTTGCGCCGTGTCCCGCTCCGCGTCGCAATGATGGCAACGCGCTGTCGCCTCCCGTCCTATGCGACACAGGTACTCCCCGAAACACCCGTGTACGGAGAGCACCTGCGTCAGTCGGTAGGTGTGCCTACCGTGGCCACGGTCCAGCCAGCTATCCCAGCTAGCCAGCACCGCCCCGACCGCCCTGTGCCCGGCGGAACCGGCTAGCCGGTCCCGCCACTTGTCTCGGGCAAGACGTCGGGCCTGGAGGTTCACCGCCGCTTCCACCGCCAGCCCTAGCGGGCCCCGCCCCTCCCGGCGGAGTTCGCGGACGCACCGATAAACTGTCGCGTCCGTCTCCGCCTGGAGATCAAAGGGCAGGACACCCGCCAGTGCCGACGCCGCCTCGTGGGAGATCGTGCGGTACCCGCGGACGACCCGGATGGCCAGCCTACGCTGTAGCCGGCGCAGCACCTCCTTGCTGCGCCGGCTGGCCATCAGGTCGCCCGCCCACACCGGCGAACCATACAATAGCATGGACTGCACGATCCCCGTGTAGAGGCGACGTACCCTCTCGTCAGGCCCCCCGAGGTTCGGCAGCAGCCGGCAAAGCCCGGCCGCCGCACATTCCGCACGGGGGGCGAGGCGGTCCAAGTGACCCTCGAAGCTCCAGTGGCCGTCCAGGTCCAACCCGAGATACCTCATGGAATCCTGGACCTGGACGTAGGCACCACCTACGCGGACCAGAGTCTGGGGCGGCGGCCCCTCACGCCGAGGCTTGTTGTGGATCCACAACGCCTCGGTTTTGTGAGGGGCCACCTCGAGTCCCAGGTCCCTGACCGCGGCGACGACGCGCTGCACCGCCACCTCGGCGAGCGCCAGCGTCCTCCCCCAGTCCTCCCCGCCGACCAGTACCTCCGTATAATCGGCGTATCACGTGAGGCTGACGCCGGCAGGGAGGGCGACGCGCAGGACCGCGTCGTACGCGAGGTCCCACACGATCGGTCCAAGCACCGAGCCCTGCGGGACCCCGCAATGTACCTCCGGCCTGTGTACCGCCCCGTCCCGACCCGGGTATTCGATAAACCTGTCCCTAAGGTAGGCATCGACCAGTCTCCTCAGATATGACATCGTATCGGCCTTGCGGCCGACCGCACCTGGAGGGTGATCCTCCTTATCGGCCCCCCCATTGCTGGGGGGTTACACTCCGTACCCCACCCANGATGATACTCGAGCGCCGCCCTGATAGCCCCCCAGGGCAGGGTGTTGAATACATTGACGATATCAAGAGATATCGCCAACACCACCCCGCCCCGGGAGATGGTCGAGTCCGAGAAGGCCCGAACGCGCTTGATCGCGTCCACCGTCGATCGACCCTCTCGGAACCCGAACTGACACTCCGCCAGATCGGGTCCCACCCGGGACAGGTGCCCGGTGAGGCGGCGAGCGATGATTCGCTCGAACATTTTGCCGACCTCACCGAGCAAGCAAATCGGGCGGTACGCGGACGGAGAATCCGCGGGCCTGCCGTCCTTCTGGAGGAGGACGAGTCTCGCCGTTTTCCACGCGACGGGGAACCGGCCCGTCATCAGGCAGCCGTCAAACAGCCGCCTGAGCCGGCTCCCCATAGCGCCCGAGGCCGCGGAGTTCCGCGTCACCATTCTCCGGACGGCCCCGGTGAGCTCCTCCTCGCTGACCCCCAGCTCAGCGGACCAGGTGTTCGGGTCCGCCGGCTCAAGAGCGGGGCGCGGGCCCTCCACCCCCGCGACGGGGAAGAGGGTGTCCACGACCCGGTCGAGCAGCTGGGGGTCCAGGGTCTCCGTCAGCGGGGGCGCCCAAGGACGGAGCTTATTCAGCACCATCCTGTACGGACGCCCCCACGGATCCCTGTTCAACCCCGAGAGGAGCTCGTCCCATGCCCGGGACTTGGCCTCCTTAATGGCAAGCTGCAGGGCGACCGCCGCCTCGCGGTACCGCCCGTACAGCGTCGCCGTCCTCGCCTCGTCCCGCCGCCGACGGCGGCGAGAGCGGGCGTACTGGCGCCGGGTGTGCACGCATGCTGCGCGCAGCGCCGCAATCTCCGGTGACCACCAGTACGCCTTCCGCCGTGGGGGGAGCGGCCCGACCCGAGGCATGGCGAAGTCGCAAACGCGCGTCATCGCCAGCCCGAGCCGTTCCGCCTCCCCCTCCACGTCATCGGCGGTCCCGGCCGGTAGCTCCGGCCATGTCTCGGCGAGGACGGCGACCTCTAGCGCCTCCCGATCCAGTCTCTTCACCGACCACCGCGGCGGCCTGGGGCCAACCGGGCGACGGGGGGGTGCGATGTCATAGCGGGCGGCGGAAACATCCATCAGGATGTGGAGGTGGTCGGACAAGGATTCCACCTCCTCCGCCACCCGTCACCCCGAGACACGTCGTGCGGCCGACGGGCAAGCCCAGGAGAGGTCGATTATCGACTCTCCCTGCCGGCCCACGAACGTGCTCCTCGAGCCTCGGTTTAACAACACGAGGCCGAGCCCCGCCGCCCAGTTCAGGACGGCCTCGTCCCCCAGGACCATCACCGGACGAGGGTGGCATCGGGTGGCGATGCACCTCCCGATCTCGTCCAGGTGTTCCTCGAAGAGGGCTAGCGGCTGGGCGGGGCATACACCCCGACCACCGCTAGGCCGTCCCATTCGACGGCCACGAACCCTTGCCCGCGCTCGATAACCGAGCACGGAACGGGCTGTGGCCGTCCACCCCAGGTGATGGTTACGGAGCCGCACAGGTCCCCCACCCAACTCGGATGGTTCGGGACACCGTACGGCTCCGCCGCGATGGCCAGTCCCACACCCCGCTCAGCCAGGGTATGGACCAGGAGGTCCTGGGCCCGGCGTGAGCGGCCTAAATTCGCCTGGAGGACGGGGACCCCTAGAAGGCAGCGACCTCCATCGCCACTGCCGAGCTCCCGCCCTCCGATGCCGACGGCCCCGCCACCGGCGCGGCCGCCCCGGTCCTCCTCGTCGGCGGAGCCGGAGCTCCCTTCCGGGCCTTCCGTGGGGGGGGAGCGCATTGAGCGCTCCCCAGCCTGTGCGCGGCTGGCCGCCCTGCGTCCGAGCACACCGGACAATTGGGCGGCGCCGCGCACTGACTCGCCTTGTGCTCCGGGTAGCCGCACAGGTAGCAGCGACCCGAGCGGTCCGCCCCGGTGCAGTGCTGCCTCACGTGCCCCTTCTCGAGGCAGCGGAAGCACCGGAGCGGGCGAGCGGCCAGGACCTCCACCCTCAGGGAGGTCCACCCCACGCGGATCTTGCCCGCCACGGCCAACTTCCGGGCAGCCGTCGCGGGGCACTGCACCCATATAGTGCCGAGCCCTTTGGGGGAGGACCGGACTTCCCCGGTCTTGACCTCCCCCACTGCGCAGTCGCCCGCTGCCGCGACGGCCGCGGCCACCTCCTTCGGGGAGATCGAATCCTCCAGGCCCCGGAGGCGGAGTTCGGCCTTCTTGGTCGGACGGGCCACCTTGACTTCCGTCCCCTCGAAGGCTTCCCTCAAACGGCCCTCCAGGGCTTGGGCCTTCTCCACCCTCTCGGGGCCGGGGACTCCCAAGATGAAGGCCCCCGTTACAGCCCTCTTCACCCGGACCTCCTCGATTCCGCCATCCGTCAGCCGGACTTTCTCCCGGGCCGCCGACATGACCTGCGCATAGGTCATGCTGCCCCCGCTCGGGACGGTCAAAGTGACCGCCGCCGTTCCGGGGGGGCGCGGCGGCCGCGGGGCGGTTTTCTTCCCGGCCCGAGGTGTCGGGACCGGGGGCCTCGGGGCCGGAGCGGGAGTGGGAGCCTTAGCCGCCCGCCTCTTGGCCTTGCGGCCCACCACCGCGGCCCACGTCTCCGGCTGCGGGTCCCGCTTTTCTCGGGGAGCGGTCTCCGACGGCCCTGCTACGACTGCAGGAGCAGGCGTCCGCCCGGGTGCGACCTTGGCGCTCCTCTTCTTGGCCTTCGGGGCCGGTTTCGACGCCGTCGACACCGGGCCGCCTACTGCGTTGGCCGGCGCCGTGGCCTTCCCCCTCGCGGGAGCCGACCCCTGCCGCTTCTCGGGGGGCGACTTCCCCAGCCCCATCGCTCGAATTTTGGCCTCGACCAGGGCCCCGATTTGCTGCAGCAAGTCCTCAGGTTCCAGCATACTGCGTGTCGCCGTCGGGCTAGTGCCCCCCACGCGCCCCCTCCCAGTGCCGGAGGAGGGCGGTGAGGACGTGCGAACACGCGGAAGCGGTGCCGGCTTCTCGGGGACCCTATCCGAGTCCGGATGACGACCTCGTCACGGCCGAGGGAGCGCTGCTCGCTCCGAGGGGGAGGCATCTGGGCCCTCCGGATGGATGACATCTCCTCCCGGAGGCGCGCCATATCCTCCTCCAGGCCTTTCACCCGGCTTCTCAGCCGGGTGTTCTCTTGTTCGAGGCGCCGAACCTCGCCATCCGAGCTGGTTTGTTGCGCCAGCTCGGTCGTAAATGCGGTCAGCTTGAGGGCCGCCTTCCGCAGGGCATGCTGAAATGTGCCCTTTAGCCCCTTGGAGGCGCAGGCCATCCGCCCAACCGCCTCCGCCTCCGCAAGGCTTTGCGCCCCGAGCGACGCCGTCGGTTCCAGCCGCGCCATCTCTGCCAACTCGTCCGGGGTCGGGAGTGTCTTGCTCGACCGCGACGGCGCCTTCAGTGGCCGGGTCGCGTCGAGTAGAGCTTCTTCCTCATCAAGTTCTTGCTCCTGGAGGCGTATCTCCAGGAGCCTCTTCTTCGCGTCGGCGAGGCCGACGTAATCCCCTGTGGTGGAGGGTCAGCCCCGCTTTCGCTTCGGCCGGCCGAGCGGCACCTCATCGTTCGCGGCGTCCGTCTCCTCCGCGTCGACGAGGGAGCAGGTCGACATCCCACTCTCTGAGGGTGCCAGTGAGGTGTTGGACCCCCTCCAAGCCTCATCCTCTAGTCGAGCCACTCGAACGATTGGCATCGACACGAGGCTTCCCCTCGGGCTAGGCACCGGGGTGGTAGAGCCAGAGCTCGCACCACCGGTGGAACTGCCACCCTCCATCTCTCTTACGCCCGAAGGCCCTCCCACGTCATCATTTATGCAATTCGGTTCCATTAGAATCCCACGAGTGGGTCGGTGTGGGGCGTCGCCCCCGGACAGAGCCGCCTTGTCCGGGGTAAGCCTGATACGCCCCGGGGTTCGGCAGGTGCCCCGGGGGTTTATCGCTTACAACTGAGCTCCCCCTCAGCCATGCATCCTTCGGCGCGCATCATACCTTGGGAGTAGGGTAATTTTTTATAGAGGTTTTCTTCCTCGTGGCCCGGGCGGTTAAGCCAAGGCCCCCGGCCCCTCCGTGTCCGCGAGACATGTCCACGACAACACGAGGGGGTTACGGTGTGACGGTGACGCCGGCGCTAAGCGTCGGAACGCCNAAGAAGGAAGAGAGAAGAAGGAAGAAAGAGAAAAGAAAAGATTTTGTGGGCGCTCACTTTTAGTCTGGCTACTCCCCCAGCGTCTGCCCGGCATGGTAGCACCTGCCGGAGGGCCTCGGCCCTCCGCCGGTATAGCCGCTGGGATCGTTGTAGCACGCAAGCCCCCTCACCACGCCAGGGTAGTGAGCACGAGGGGGAACCTAACCTAACTTTTTTTTTTCTTTGTTTACGAAGAGAAAATGCCTACGCACACCCCCGCCTCCTAGGGGAGAGGCGGGGGTAGTGTGGGACTCGCACCCACTAAAAACTCCCCGATGGCCTCCCTCACCGCGGTATGGGGGATCACGGGTTCGAAACTCACGCAACCGCGATCCCCCCGCGGATGATCGTAGTCGTAACCTCGCGGAGACGGTCTCCAGATCGTACCTCTAAATGTCGGTGGGACGGGGCCATACCGCCCCACCGACTACACCCTAGGGGGCCGCGTGCAATGGGCGGTCGAGCCCCCACTCGACCACTCTGCGGCCCATACGGCGCAGCGCCGCCGCAGCAGGGCAAGCCCCGCAGCGCCGACACCGCGCCGCTGTCTCCCTAAAAATGCCGGCGCAGAGAGGGGCCGAGACCCACTCCCGGCGCAGGCGTAAACCTGCGCCCCAGCCGAGAGGCTGAGGCGCCTCACCGCGTCGGCGAAGGCTTTTACACCCCCGCCTCCGCGGTGGTTTTCCTCCCCTTCTTTCTCTTGGCCCCCTTCCGGCCTTCAGCGGCCGGGAGAGGCGCCGCGGGCGTCGTTCCTCGCGACGAGCCGGCGACGGCAGGGGCATCTCCCCCGCCAACCGACCGCGGGGCGGACCGGGCCACCTTTCCCCGCCGCGCAAAAGACGGGCACTCCCTCGTGCCCATCCTGTGCGCGGATGGTCGACCACGGTCCGAGCAGAGAGGGCACTTGGCCTCCTCCGCCGGACACGCGGCCACGCGGTGTCCGTCCTCGCCGCATCGGTAGCACCGGCTGCTCCTGTCCGGGCGGTCCCGGCAGTGGGTCGCCACATGCCCCACCTCTAGGCAGTGGAAACACTGCAAGGGTCGAGACGCAAGCGCCTCGACCCTGCAAAGGCCCCACCCAATCCTCACCCCGCCCGCCGCCAGCACTCTACGTGCGGCGACGAGAGGGCACTGAACCCATACAGTGCCCAGGCTACTTCCCCCCGGGGACCGCAAGACCCCGACTTTTACGTCGGCGAGCTCACAGCCCCCGGCCTCGGCCAGAGCGCCCGCAACCTCTTCCGCGCTCGTGCCCTCCACGAGGTCACGTACGCGGATGTCAGTCCGCTTGCACGGACGACCCACCTTCACCCCCATGTCCGCAAGCTCCGTGCGGAGCTTGGCAGCGAGGGCATCCGCCTGACGGCCGCCCTCGGCTCCGGGGACCTGTAA